CTTTTCAGTTTTAAAAAAAATAAAAGAAAATGATAAAAATGTCAAAAAAATAAAAGAAAATAAGTTTCCCATGTGATATGTGGTCTAGTTGTTGGGAAAATTTACAAATATGAATTTCGACTTTATTTGCAAAATCTCTCTAGAATTTAGTAAAATGGGCATAACTTTTGCATACGAACTCGGATTAAAAAGTTTTTATATGAAAAATCATCTACTCGAAAAGTTACATCCAAATTTAACCGGGGGAACCTCGTTAAACATTTTCAAAATCCTCAAAAACCTAACAGAAAAAAGTTACGGGGCTTTTAAGATCTGGAGGCAAAAAAATTCTCAGTTTTTTTTGAATTTTTGTTAAATCTGGTCAAACTATGGTCAAACTACTTATTCACGAAGTATTAGTGTTACTAAATAATTATTCAAGAATATTAGTGTTACTAAATAATTATTTACATTTTTTTTGAATTTTGGTCATATCTGGTCAAACTATGGTCAAACTACGGTCAAACTGTGGTCAAACAATGGTCAAACTAATTACTCAAGAAATATTAGTGTTACTAAATATTAGTGTTATTTTTTAGAACAATAGTTTCAAACTCAAACAGTGAAATGTGTGACTTCATGCTCAAACTAAATTCCTCAGGTTAATAGGATTGACATCTTACTATTGTCAGGAAAACAACAAGTGCAGACTTGGAAACAAGGGAGAATAGAACCCGGAAGTTCAGCGTGCTCACGCTGGAGTACTGAGAGGGTGGGTGACCGTTCGGGAAGTTAGATGATGAGGGGTGATTAGAGGTTAAATTGAGCAGTGATGAGGGGTGATTAGAGATGAGAGGTTAAAATAATTCAGAAATTTGAAAATCCAAAAAAAAATCCAAAAAAAAGTTAATTTTTTTAAAAAAAAATCATAAAAATTCCTTTAGTACCGGTTGGTGTTACCAACCGGGACTAAAGGTGGACCTCCAGGCAGCGGCCACGTGGAGAGCCTTTAGTCCCGGTTCGTGTAAGAACCGGGACTAAAGGGGGAGGCTTTAGTAACGACCCTTTAGTCCCGGTTCCACGAACCTGGACTAAAGGCCCTTATGAACCGGGACTAAAAGCCCTTTTTCTACTAGTGACTCAAGTCATGACATCAAGGCACAATAGGAGAAGAGGCTCGGAGGAGAAGGGCATTTTAGTCTATAGAGTTTTTGAGTGCATACACTCTCGGAAAAATCCTTCCAAGGATGCCGGTGGAAGAATTTCTGACGGCGCTACAACAAATCAATGTGACATGAACTATGCTGGTCATAAAAAATCAGCAAGCAAACAAGTTGGTTTCTCTATGGGTGTGAGCAACAAGTGGCAAAAGAAACAGATTGCAGCGGTACGATTGCAAGGCGCATATGGGAGTTAACCTCCGAGACAGTAGCTAGGTTGTGACCATTTTTTAGGCGATCACACATACCAGCTGATGTTGTAGAGGGGTCGTCGAATATTTTGGTTATTTTGTGTAATATTTGCACCATGTTATGTGTAATATTTTGGTTATTTTGCCCCATCAAGTGTTTGGTGTAGTAGGATCATCAAAGTCACCCTAAACAAAATCAGTGACATCACATTGAAAGGTCAGTGTATCTTTCTACGTATCACGTGGTATTATATTTCATGTCGCTCGGTGAGAAATTTTCCGTTTTTCAGCAGTTCAGATTGCACATGTTTTTCATATCTATACTCCACGAAAAAGTCAAAAAAGGGGTTATATCATCACAGTCTATGCCATTCTAAGTTGTCACAATTTTTCTTTTTAGTTCATTGCATCGTTGAGTTACACCTACATCATTGCCTCGAGTTGCTAGTCTTAGGGTTTAGTCCCTTAGAGTTTTAAGTTTTGTTCATATTCACCACGTCGAGGCTACACCATCATCACCTACGCTGCCGACTACCGCTTTTTAGTTTATTTGAGCCCTTTTTGGTAGTTTTGTGTGGCTTGTCAGCCCTTTGCTCCCAAGTTTGACCGTCAAAGCGAATAGATAGTGTTGCATCAGATAAGAAAATAAACCAATATATAATCACTATACCTTGAATTTGTTGTCCTCCTTTATCTAAATATCTAAAAGTGTCATGAGTCACAATATCATTAAAAATAACTTATGTTATATTGAGATTTTGTTTTATACTAGTTTGCAGTATCTTTGGTTTCATCATATATCAGCCTATCAAACAAAACAAAACAAAAAATACTCTCCCACCTACTTTCAAATGTACTTTCTTTTCATTGGGATGACCAAAGTAAGATATAATCATGCACAAACTAATGGGTTCACAATAGAACGGTTTAATCAAATGTTTAATATGCGGCATGTGAAGTTCATGAAATTAAATATTTTTTATAAGTTCTCATGTCGATAAGGAATGAGAGTAGACTGATTCATTTGCAAAACTCACAGAATCTCCTAACCATCTAATCAACAACCGAACTTTCCTCCAGCTGAAACAGTTGTACTACCTCCGTTGTAAAATATATTTGACATTTTGGTAGGTAGTGGATTATAACTGAAAGAAACTTTAAGTCACCTTTGCAACGGAAACTCTAGTTATTATGCTTAAATGAACAAATGAGTCAAAAGAAAATAGAGAGGAAGGAACATTCAGCAATTAGATGATCTACATGTTTCCATCACGCTGCTCTCCTTTTGTTTTGGGTTTTGTCTGGCTTGTCGGCCGATTGCTCCCATGTTTAGTTTGTTGATGAAGTGCATTGAAAAACCATAAGACAAAGGACTATGCACATTAGATGCATTATCTATATGTTTAGTAATGAGTTTATTATGAAGTAAGACAACTTTATATAATTCAGAACAACATATGTCACCTACGCTAAACATAACTACAAACAACATCTAACAACTTTAGAATTTTAGCATTCTGTGTAAGATGTTGCTCACGCATGAACTAGACTGAAACAACACTGCCAAAATTCATCAACGAATGTTATTATTTGCTCTATCGTCTATATCAACTTCGCCCATGTGCGCTTCGTGGCATCTCCCTCTGTATCACAAAGAATCAATAAAAAAATTCCTTTCTCATAAAAAAGTTGTCATCTCTCCTGAACTATAGTACTTGTGTGGCAAAAAACCACATTTTTAAAAACTTAGACACTATGAAATAAAGACGGCCGATATATGACCACATTCACACAGAAATAAACTTGTACATGTTTTCGTAGAGAAATTAGAACTAGTTATTTTCTTAAATAACAATATTCTAAGGAATTTAAAGTCAATATACAAAATTTATCTAAGTATTGTGCCCTTTATATCTGAGAAACTGAGCCAATATAGTCTCCAAAAAGTATAGTTAAGTAGTCCGAAAGAGAGCACCATCCACAGATGGGACTTTCTGCATATAGGTCGAACCTTGGACTTAATTGCTTTGTAGTTTTGAGACTATTTCAGATCAAGTAAAAATAAAGTATTTCAGCAGCTGCCACCAATGAGTTTTGAATTTCAGTTCGGCAAAATAACCACTTATTTAAGGATGAATTTTAGTGAATATAATAACAAAAATTGCAAAGTAGTAGACTCAAACTCATTTTTTAAGTATAAAAAAATACTATACATAGTTTCCTGTATTATTTTAGAGAAAATAGGGACCACCACCTCGCCTCATTTAAACCAAAGCAGAACAACATCGAAAAAGGGAACATCAGAGAGCAAAACTAACCTATTAGGATATGGCCAATGCATAGCCTCTGGGTGATGCTTCACATGCCATGTAGGATCGGAGTCAGGAGAAATAGGTTATGATGGGGAAGTGGGATCCTCTGCAATAGCCGGGTGCTTGGGGAAAAGTGTGGTCCCATATAAAAAACAAAAAGAATAAAGTAAAGAGAAGAGATGCACGTGTACTAAAGTTTTTATTTTTTATTTCGTTGATGATGTCCACTAATGGAGCTTGCATGGGAGAGAAAATTTAATATAGGTGCCTCAATTTTTTTTCTCATCATAGTTCATGCCCTTTACATCTTACCCAGAAATTTTATCAGTGGCCAAGCAGCTAGGGAGAAGCTAGATACCTCGGGACATCATCCCTGTATTAACGATGAATACTTGAGAAAAGAGTATGCTGCATCAAAATCCTCGTTCGACGCAGAGTTCTCTTGACTCAAGGGGTAAAACCATAAAGCTTGAGGCTCCTGACTTTCTCATTTTGGATGAACTGGTGATCCATGTTTTAACCTTGCTGTTCATATGCTCGCACAACTTCCTGTTTCCAGTGTCGATATGCATTTCTTCAAGAACGGTCGCGTTCTTGGTAAAGAATTTGATCAGCTTGACGCCCAAACAGTTGGACTCCTCCAACCGAAACTGCAAGCTCATTCTCTTCAGTGAGCTCTGCAAGCATTCGAACGAGTGCCGACTCAGGCCAGGGATATCTAAAACCTCAGCACTGTTAACATCGCCATCATCTTCAAGAGAAACTGTTGTCGGCTCTGCGCGGTTGATAAGATCTACTGACTTGTCACGGTCAGATAGGAACTTTGTTTCCACGTACCCTTCTATGCGGTCATACCTTAGTATGGCCCCGTGTTGCGCCGTGGTAAGGTTGATCCGGAGATTGCGGAGCACGGGGGAGCAGCGTAGCAGGTTCGCGATCGCCACCGACGCGGTCTTGCCTTTCGGCCTGTGCACTCCTTGCAGCTCGAGCCGCTCGAGGTTGCAGAAGGCGGGCAGGAGCTCGACGCGCATTGCCTCGCTGAGCACGGCCATGTCCTCGAGGTTGTTCACCCTCAGCTTCAACTGCTTGGTGCTGCTTATGTCCTGGAGGAATCGCCAGAAGGTCACGAGGTTGGGATTTGGATCCTCCTCGCTAGGGTGCTTCCGGTGTGGATACACATACCTTTTCTTGTCGCATGGCCCGAAAAAGTGCAGGTCTGCCCGTGACAAGTCCTGTGGCTGCGGGCTCATCGTGAACCGTCGGAGAAGCCCCATGTACACGAAGCGCCGCAGCCTCGGCGCATGGATCTCCACGGCGACGACGGCGGGGGTCTCGTGATCATTCCCTCTCCAGCTGCACCTCCGGAGCATGAGCACGATGGCCGCCGAACATTGGAGCACTATTTCTGTCGGTGGTGGGGGAGAAGTATCGTCCAAGGCGCGGTGGGTTGCCGCGCTCGCGTCGTTTGTTGGCCTGATGGTGATGACGATGGACTCAAGGTGGATGGTGGCGAGCGCCGGCGCGGCGTGGATGAGGCTCTGGAGGTCATCGAGGCGCACGGTGCAATGCCGCAGCCGCATCGATGAAAGCCGGGTGAACACGACTGTGGTGGCCAGTGGAAGGATGCTGTTGCAGTTGGTGAGTTCGAGCACGCGGAGGGTCTCCGACGGCAGGAAGCGGAGGCTGAGCATGTACTCGCCTACCACTTTCCGGGCGATCTCCTTCTCCGGCTCATAGTAGGTGTCGTTGCAGCCTTCAACGGCGAGCCGGAGGACTTGGATGTGTTGCGCCGCCGGGTGGGAGAGAAGCGTGGCGATCACGCTTTGGTCCTGGTCCGGCGACGAGCACAACCCGTCGCTGTTGTATTGCAGGAACCTGCGGTCGACGCCAAACTCGAACTTCACGCGCAGGGTAAGCGTCGTGATGTGGTCGGCGGCGGCGAGCGCCGCCTGGGCCGCGGAGACGAAGGCGTCGCGCCGGAAGAAGAACGTGGCCTCCAGGCTCTTGCGCTCCTCTCCCCAGCTTTGGTAGAGTCGTTCTATGCGCTCGACGTGCGTCTCGAGGTTTACGGCCCCCGAGGAGCGCAAGAGCGGCGAGCGCCAGCGCCGGGAGAGCGCTCTCGTGGAGGCGGCCTCCTTGGCCGGGGCGAAGTGGAGGATGCGGCGGAGAAGCTGGTCGGGGAGCGCGGACAGGCGGTCGTCGACGGCCATCGTCCACGTCCGCGGCGCGATGCGATCACGTTCTCGATGGGATGGGATGGGGAATTAGGGTTTAGGGATCGGATCGGTACGTACGGGAGATATACCTTTTTTTCTTGCCAAAGAAAAAAAAATCCGTTTACGTATTTGGGCAGGCAACGACGTAAACGTCAGTTATGAACCGATCTCTAGTCCTCTACACGGCATCTCCGAGATTCTGAGATCGCCGCCGCCAGCCGCCGTGTCGAACGGGAGCGCGACGAGATGAGTCACTCCCACCAGATCGTCGAACTGGAGCGCGAGCGCGAGCGCGACGACCGTCTCAGCAGTCTCAGCGATGTCGTGCTTGGCCATATCCTCTCCTTCCTCGACGCCGACGAGATCGGCCGTGCCGCGGCGCTCTCAAGGCGGTGGCGCGACGTCCTGGCCATCGTCCACACCGTCTCCCTGGACATGGATGAGCAGCCGAAACGGCCCATCATCTACGACGTGGTCGACGATAACTTGATCTATTCCACCGAGTACATCAATCACCCGCCGGCGCCGCTGTCCTCAATCGTCACCGGCGCCCTCTTTGGCCGCAGCCGCCGCCCGGCCCCCGCGCCCGGCCCGGTGCCCCTGCGTGCGCTCCGCGTTTGCCTGGGAGTGAGATTGGGATACAATCCCGACCAAAAGACCACGGTGGACCAGTGGGTTACTTACGCCCTGAAGCATGCCGGCCCCGACCTCGAGCTCGACCTCCGCCTCGGCCGAGACCCCATCTGCAAGCACCCCGACCGGGCCGCCCACGCTAGGCCATACGAGGTTAAAGCCGTTGGCTGGAAGCCTCCGGAGACAAACGCCGACGACCATTCACCCCTTGGGACAGACGACGACGATGGTGACGATGTTGGCTCCAGTTCTGAAGAAAATTTTCGTGGATACGGAGAGTACACCGTCCCATGGGGGGGTTTCTCCTGCCCCGCGCTGCGATCGCTCCGCCTTGGCGCTTGCAGGATCTCCCCGCCGGCGGCCCTCAGCATGCCATGGCTCGAGGCGCTCCGCCTCACCCAGGTCCCCGACGAGGAGGAGCACGTGCAAAGGCTCATCTCCGCCTGCCCCCACCTCGTGGACCTGACTCTCGAGGCTTGCGGAACGGTGACCACGCTCTCGCTCCTCGGCAACACGCGCCTCCGCAGCCTCGCCCTCCGGTGCTGCCATAAATTAGCCACCGTTGTCATCAACACGCCAGAGCTCCGCTCCTTTGAGTACCGCGGTGCCGTCCCTGGCGACTCCTTCCTCACCATGGTCGGCGGCTCGCCATCTATCATGTCGTTCAAGGTCGACATCTGTGCGATCTGTGTTGGGGAGGCCACCTCAGAAGAGGAGCTCAGCAAGCTCGATTCCTTCGTACAGCAGTTCGTGTCGACCACGAAACACCTCCACTTATCATGTGCCTTCATGGGCTCATCCTTCGCGCGGCTCCCGGCATTCACGAGCCTCCGCCACCTTCAACTGATCGGACACGTGCCGCGCGACAGCGACGACCCCGCCGCAGCAGCTGCCGCGACAAGCAAAATCCTTTGGAAAACCCCGAACCTGGAAACATTGTCCTTGTTATTCGAAGTAAAGCGTCGCAATCCCAATAAGTACGACCCCAAGGAGTACGACCGCGGCGATCGCAGCGAGGGGCAGCTCCTCGATGCTCACCTCCTCAACTGCAACAAGTACGACAGCCTCGACGTTCCGGCTTCGAGCGTGACCGTGCCGGCCTGCCTCAGTAGTCGGGTGAGGAAGATCAACCTGTTGCATTACCAAGGCGGAAGAGCGCAGAGGATGCTGGTCAGGTTCTTGGTCCGCAACACTGAAGTTCTTGAGAAGCTTTACTGTGGATTCGCCGAGGGGCCGTTGTGGATTCAGATGGAACTTAAGCGCGAGATCGAACGATGGGCGGTGAACGGGAAAACTAGCACGGAGTTCCGTTGATCGGGTGATGGATGCTTCTCTGCCTTTGCAATTACGGTACAACTTCTGATGGATTCGTGATAATTTAGTAAATGTTGAACATAATTCTCTAAACATTCGTCTCAATCGATTAAGACATAACCAAGTCTCGGTCGGCTAATACTTAACCAAGTCTTGGTCCATGCTATATCCGTGAGATCTTACTTTGAGATTCGTGCAATTTCTTTCTTTCTTTTTCTCTCTTGCATGCTATGTCACTTGAGTGCGACTTGATTAAATCTCAGTCGACTGAGACCTAGTCAAACCCGTCATTTACTGATTGTCTAGAATGTCTACAGGAATTGCAGTTATATATAGTACGTATATATCATGCGGATTGCCCCTGCCCCTGCCCCTAGCCCCATCTACATCTAAAGATAAAGCAATCCACATGTTAGGGTTCGATATACCTGTGAAAACAACTGAAGATCCAAGATAATTGCCGATGGATATGATCTTGGGTTATCCTAAAACATCTTCTCTCCACGTTCAACTGCAGCCCCGCCCATGAGATCAAATTCACAGGCGCAAAAACCACATCAAAGGGAGCACTGGGATGCTTAAACTCAAAGGTGCCACGATTTGACAGTTCCAAATGCCTCAACAAATAGCTAGCAGCAAGGCCAGTAGTATAAAACTTTCACCATCAGGTAAAAAGATGTAGTATCAAACTTTTCACGTTCATGTCCTTCTGCTCTCATTGCTGGCTGTTTGTTGTTGGATATGCTGTACGAAAGACGAATATAAGAAAACGTCCTCAGTAGTGAATTGTTGGCTCTCAACTATTTCATGACATTCAGTGGTCGATCATAGGCATTACTTTACTGCTACATCATCTCTTATAGTGTCTATATCAGGGTTAAAAAATTCAGTGAAATTTCGCATATTTCAATGGGGTTCAAAATATTTTTAACCTCAAAATTTTGATGCAGATTCAAACTTATTTCAAAGTAAAGTTAAATTATGTTAAAATTCATAAAATTAAGTGAAATTTCAAATCTCAAAATCCGGAATAATTTTTGAAATATGGGAAATTTCCAAAATTTCGCATATTTCAGTGAGTTCCGAAACTATTTAGTTTCCGAAATTAAAAACCTTGGTCTATAGTATTCCTGCTGCATATTAATTTGAATTCTGCATATGTAGGTAGTACACTAGTAAATAAACATACATACATACATACATACATACATACATACATACATACATACATACATACATACTCTGTTAAGCATCTGTCACATCTATAATACCTAAATAGTTCATCCCCACTACTTGATTTCTCTTGACATGCAAGCTACCCACATCATCAATCACATGCAGCCATCCAACTCAGCAAACTTGCCACTTCAGCAAAAGAATTCCACGGAAAAAAAACATGGGATTTAATCACACATCGGTTCCTCTTCAACTTCTAAAACTGACAAGATACTGCATCTACACTTTAAGAGCCAAAGACACCCTGTTTTATTCTCAGCTCCACACCCACTAGTAGAAAAGGGGGCAATGGTCCAGGCCGGTCCAGCCCATTAGTCCCGGTTCAATCCAGAACCGGGATCAATGGGGGCATTGGACCCGGTTCTTGAGCCCCGGGGGCCAGCCGGGCCACGTGGGCCATTGGTCCCGGTTCGTCTGGACCTTTTGGTCCCGGTTGGCGGGACGAACCGGGACCAATGTGCCTTGCTCCTGGCCCACCACCATTGGTCCCGGTTGGGGGAATGAACCGGGACCAAAGGCTTCCCTTTAGTCCCGGTTCATGCCACGAACCGGGACCAATTAATTGCCTATATATATACCCCGCGAGCAGAGCACTCTCAGTGCTCTGTTTTTCGTGGCCGGCGAGGAGAGAGCTTTGTGTTGCTCTAGCTCACCTCCTATGCACACGAGGTGTTCGATGGAATGCCCGAGCCACACTACTTAAGCTTTCTCCTCTCCAAGCTCCACCTTCAAGCTCCATTTTTCTCAATATTTGTCTAGGTTTAGCGGTCTGTCACGTCCCGTCCCCGTCTTCACCGCCGTCGATCGCCCGCGTCGCCGGCACCACCGTGGTGAGCCTCTTGTTCTTATCTTCTTTCTGAAAGGAAAAAAACTCTTACTTGTATGTTTATATAGATACTTGTATAATTTTCTTACTTTTATTATTGCATCTTATATAGTGTGATGGTTTTGGTATCCGCCCCCGTCGGCCCTTGTCCTGTCTATGATTCAGATGTGGTATATATTATCTTTTCATAACTATTGGTTCATTTATTGTTTATGACAATTATGCCGACCAACGTGACATACATTTTATTTATCTAGGAGGTTGTTGAACCCGAAATTCCAACCGACCCTATTGTCGAGAGGTTAAATTTAGTTGAAGAAGAAAACAATTTGTTGAAGGAAAAAATTAGAAAAATTGAGGAGGAGAAGATGATATTGGAGTTGCATGTTGCGGATGTCGTCGATGATCACAAGATCAAGATGGATGCAATGCGCTTGAAGATTAGAAAGATTAGGAAATATGCCATTCATACCGAGGCTTGATATCATTATGCCGTTGGATCAGTTGTTACATTGGTTGTGATTATGATCGCATTTGTTTTCGCATTGAAATGTTTTACATAGTTTCAGTGTATGGTTTAATTAATTTAGATGCTCTGCAGAGCTTTATGTTGTTAGATGAGAACTATGTATGTACTTTGGTTTTAATGTGATGATGAACTTCTATTAATTGTGTCACTTAATTATATAATGCACGCAGATGAACCGGCAATGGATGTACGGTTCAAGACACACCTCCGAGTACATTAAGGGCGTGCATGATTTTCTCGAAGTGGCTGAGGCAAACAAGCAGAATGGTTTTATGTGTTGTCCATGCCTTGTATGTGGGAATACGAAGTCTTACTCTGACCGGAAAATCCTCCACACCCACCTGCTTTACAAGGGTTTCATGCCACACTATAATGTTTGGACGAGGCACATAGAAATAGGGGTTATGATGGAAGATGGTGAAGAGGAAGAGTACGATGACAACTATGTGCCCCCTGAATACGGTGATGCTCCTGAAGATCAAGAGGAACCAGACGATGTGCATGATGATGCTGCAACGGGCGAAGCTGCAGAAGATCAAGAGGAACCAGACGATGTGCCCGATGATGATGATCTCCGCCGGGTCATTGTCGATGCAAGGACGCAATGCAAAAGTCAAAAGGAGAAGCTGAAGTTTGATCGCATGCTAGAGGACCACAAAAAAGGGTTGTACCCCAATTGCGAAGATGGCAACACAAAGCTGGGTACCGTACTGGAATTGCTGCAGTGGAAGGCAGAGAATGCTGTGCCTGACAAAGGATTTGAGAAGCTACTTAAAATATTGAAGAAGAAGCTTCTAAAGGATAACGAATTGCCCGACAGTACATACGCAGCAAAGAAGGTCGTATGCCCTCTAGGATTGGAGGTGCAGAAGATACATGCATGCCCTAATGACTGTATCCTCTACCGTGGTGCGTACAAGGATCTGAACGCATGCCCGGTATGTGGTGCATTACGGTATAAGATCAGATGAGATGACCCTGGTGATGTTGACGGCGAGCCCCCCAGGAAGAGGGTTCCTGCGAAGGTGATGTGGTATGCTCCTATAATACCACGGTTGAAACGTCTGTTCAGAAACGGAGAGCATGCCAAGTTGATGCGATGGCACAGTGAGGACCGTAAGAAAGACGGGAAGTTGAGAGCACCTGCTGACGGGTCGCAGTGGAGAAAAATTGAGAGAAAGTACTGGGATGAGTTTGCAAGTGAGCCAAGGAATGTATGGTTTGCTTTAAGTGCGGATGGCATTAATCCTTTTGGGGAGTAGAGCAGCAATCACAACACCTGGCCCGTCACTCTATGTATGTATAACCTTCCTCCTTGGATGTGCATGAAGCGGAAGTTCATTATGATGCCAGTTCTCATCCAAGGCCCTAAGCAACCCGGCAATGACATGGATGTGTACCTAAGGCCATTAGTTGAAGAACTTTTAGAGCTGTGGAATGGAAACGGTGTACGTACGTGGGATGAGCAAAAACAGGAGGAATTTAACCTAAAGGCGTTGCTGTTCGTGACCATCAACGATTGGCCCGCTCTCAGTAACCTTTTAGGACAGACAAACAAGGGATACCACGCATGCACGCACTGTTTACTTGACACCGATAGTATATACCTGGCAAGCTGCAGGAAGAATGTGTACCTGGGCCATCGTCGATTTCTTCCGACCAACCATCAATGTCGAAAGAAAGGCAAGCATTTCAAAGGCGAGGCAGATCACCGGAAGAAGCCCACCATGCGTACCGGTGATCACGTACTTGCTATGGTCAATGATTTACACATAATCTTTGAAAAGGGTCCCGGCGGACTAGCTGTTCCGAGTGACGCTGGGGGACACGCACCCATGTGGAAGAAGAAATCTATATTTTGGGACCTACCCTACTGGAAAGACCTAGAGGTCCGCTCTTCGATCGACGTGATGCACGTGACGAAGAACCTTTACGTGAACCTGCTAGGCTTCTTGGGCGTGTATGGGAAGACAAAAGATACAGCTGAGGCACGGGAGGACCTGCAACGTTTGCACGAAAAAGACGGCATGCCTCCAAAGCAGTATGAAGGTCCTGCCAGCTATGCTCTTACCAAAGAAGAGAAGGCAATCTTCTTTGAATGCCTGCTTAGTATGAAGGTCCCGACTGGCTTCTCGTCGAATATAAAAAGAATAATAAATATGGCAGAGAAAAAGTTTCAGAACCTAAAGTCTCATGACTGCCACGTGATTATGACGCAACTGCTTCCGGTTGCATTGAGGGGGCTTCTACCGGAAAACGTCCGATTAGCCATTGTGAAGCTATGTGCATTCCTCAATGCAATATCTCAGAAGGTGATCGATCCGGAAATCATACCAAGGCTAAGGAGTGATGTGGTGCAATGTCTTGTCAGTTTCGAGCTAGTGTTCCCAGCATCCTTCTTCAATATCA